AGAGATAGATATTCAGTAGAGAGGGTTAGCTCAGAGATAAATTACAGTAGGGAGGGTTAGCTTAGGGATAGATATACAGTAGGGAGGGTTAGCTCATGTATAGATATACAGTGGGGAGGGCTAGCTCATGAATATTTAGTATGGAGGGTTAGCTCAGGAATATTTAGTATGGAGGGCTAGCTCATGAATATTTAGTATGGAGGGTTAGCTCAGGAATATATAGTGGGAGATAGAAGATATAGTAGGGAGGGTTAGCAAGTTGACACCTATAGTAGGGAGGGTTAGTTCAGGAATAAATAGTAGGGAGGGTTAGCTCATGGATATATATTAGGGAGGGTTAGCTCAGGAATATATAGTAGGGAGGGTTAGTTAAATAGTTCACATTACAAAATCTTGTCTAACTATAATAGTTTTTATAGAGGACTAGTAAAGGTTAAGAGTTTTAAAGCAAGTTGACACCTAAGCAGGTTTTCAAGTTGCCTAACAGGCTTGAAGATCATTGGAGTTCCCTTGGATTAGCTTGGATAGGACCAACATTTATTTAATTCATGAAAGTATGCACAATTAAAAATGATGATTGCAAATTATGATAGATAAAAGATCTGAGTTTAGAATCTTAAGAATGGGAGATTTTTTCTGCCAAAGAATTTTTTGTATTTGGCTTCTGGAAAAAGGGTGTTTAAAAAAGAAAAAGTATGTTTTTATATGTTGTCATAATATATGTATGTAGTATCCTGAAGCAGGGGCGTATTCAGGAATTTGTCCAGGGGGGGCGTAAATTTTTTATCTTATACTAGGACGGACCCGGCTCAGCAGCCGTTGGGGCCTGAAAAACCCCTGAAATCAATAGATTTCACTGGTCCGGGGGGGATTAGCCCCCATAGCCCCCCCCCTGAATACGCTTCGGTTTGGGGATAAGTTTCAGCTTCTAGAAACTTAATTGATCTCCATGTTTACCAAAAAAGTAAAAAAAAAATTTATTTTGTTGGCAATTTGCACATTATTTTTATCAATAAACTTAATCAAAGTAACACAGATCCCAGGCCTACTGCTCCCATGGGACCCATGGGATTCAAGAGCAAAACTAAAATGTATAGGTGCGGGGTGCATGTGAAAGATGAGTTTTCCCCCTCAATTAAAATGGTTTGATTTTGCCCCACAAAGGGTAACTAAAAAAATGTTGCCACTTCGTACCGGTGTAATTCTCGAACTTGAATATTTTATCTCAATTATAAAGCTTTTCAAAAGAAGGGGGGGTTCATAAACAACAAGTTTAAAGTCTAAAAGTCAAAAAGTCTATCTATGAGATCTTATATATGTATAATAATTACAAAAAAAGTTCGCGGATCTAATAGTACTTTTTCGCGAATTCTAAAATCTTTACAAAAATCAAAAACATTTGGACACAAATCTTTGTAATTTTGAGCATCTACAACCTTTCCTGGGGCCATGTGAGGTCCCACATAAAATTTTGGCCCGATCGGTTTAGCCGTTTTGACATTCGAAACAATTTACAAACAAACAAACAGACAGACAAGCAAAGTGTATATATATAGATAAAGTTAAAGTAACATATTTTTTCTCAATTAATAGAAATACATATGTATATGCTTAATGATAATTCCAATTGTTTACAGATTAAATAAATATATACTCTTAATGTGATTGGTGACTAAAAGAAAGGAGAAAGCCAAACGGCTGGACCGAATAAACTGAATTTTTTGTGGACACTCATGGGGTAGCCTGAGGTTGGCAAAGGCAAAAAAATTCGAATTTTTTTATCTCTAATTTTTTTATTTTTGTGATTACTTTTTATATTAAATTATCATTTTTTCCACTGGCAACGCCGGGCCCTTCAGTTAGTTTAATATACACAATTGTCTAGGGGGGATTATTTTAATATACCCCCCAGGATATCCTCAACTATGCCTTTGATTATAAGAATGCTCACATTTTTTCAGAAACCTTTCTCAATTAAATTCACACAATTACTTTTTATAAAAGATCATTTGTGCATGCAGCAGAAGCGCGACGAAGGATAATTTTGTTTACCTCAAAACCTCAGAGAGTGTTAGGATTTATGAATCTTTGGACTAACAACTGATTTTTAACTTATTACACACTTCACAGTTAAAACCAGAAAACTCTGGAATATGAAGACTTCGCTTAGCTACTGAATATGTATATTATATGCAGTAATAACCAGAAAACTCTGGAATATGAAGACTTCGATTAGCTACTGAATATGTATATTTTATGACTTTATATAGTCAAATGAACATAATTACATAAGTTGCTGTAAATGTGAACTGTGTAAACAGAACAGACCCATTTCACTCAATAAGTGATTTAGCAAGTTCCTAGTAAAACTATTTGCCTTGTAACATTAAATACCCTTCAAGTATTGCTTTATAATGTCGTTTTCCTATTCCACAGTTTTCTGATTTTCACTGTATTAAATTTTAGATAGATATTTCTTCTGTTTCAAAACATGTCTCGTCCTTTTACCAGCTATTTGAGAAGATATTTTGTATTTGCGATAGAACTAAAAAATTGCTTCTCAATGTTTGAGAAGATAATTTGTATTTGCGATAGAGCAAGAAAATTGCTTCTTAATATAATATTTCCTTTATAACTGAAGGAATTATGATACTTGTACATCATAAAACTGTGTTCAAAATAGATATTATGCTGTGATTGAGTTAAAAGCTAGAAATAATACAGTGAAACCCTTAATAACGAATACATCGAAAGAATTCATCAAATGTCGTATTCTTCACTTTCTGATAATGGAATGTTGCAGATATATTGTGTTTTTTATTTAAATGATTGTATGGAACTCTTTAAAAACTTTTCCCGCATATTCATGGCTATTTTATTTATTTTCGCAAATACTGAAATTTACGTAATATAGTATAAAACTCATTGAAAAATTGTTCTGACGACATTTGATAAATTCTTCCGATGTATTCGTTATTAAGGGTTTCACTGTATATGAATAGATACATTTACAAAACATTTATAGTCTAAAATTATTTTTAGAAAAGGAAAAAAGCATGAAAAAGGATGCAAAAGAATGTACAAACATGGTAATATTCAGTTTTTTAATTAAATTTTTCAAACCACACCTGCAAGCTGAAGTATAACTTATAACCCATGAGTTCATAGAAATCTGTCTTTCGTTTTAACTTGTCTCCATATTGTTACTTTTAGCTATGCGATGGTAGATAAAAATAATTAACTAATAATAATTAATTAATTAGAAATTAGCTGAAGTGTCCGGCGTTGCCCGTTGGATTTCAGAAACACTTTGAAAAAAATTATTTATAATTTTGAAAAAATGGGATTTTAAAATATTCGATTTTGGTTTGCTATGGGTTCTCTGACAAAATTTAAGCCAATTTGGTCCGGCAAGCTAGCTAATTAATGTTTAAAAAAAAGATTTTTACCTATATATGAATTCTTTATTACTTGCTGTCAGTTAATAAATTGTATAATTTTGATCAAGTTATCATGTTGTTACAGTTTTATAAAAATGAAAACTTAATAAGTTGAGAATAATCAGGGGCGTACGAGGGCTTTTGTTTAGAGGGGGACACAATTTGCTACTGCCCCCCCCCCCTAGGTACGCCACTGTGCCTGGCCTGAGGAAGGGAAATGCAAGCAGATGTAATATTAAAAGAGCCTCCCCCATGTGTGTCCCCCCTCAGCCTCTCAGGGGGGGGCACGCGTAGAGGGGGGATGTGGGCGCAGCCCCCCCTCGTACGCCACTGAGAATAATTATATGTAAAGCTTTATTATGTAGATGATTTTATACCTAATATTTTCACAATACCTACAAATAAACATAACCAAATCATTTATTGAAGACTATTTTGGAAATTTTAAGACAACTTACCTGTAATATAGCGCATACTATTGGTAAATAATCCATCGGTCTGACCAATTGAGAGATGTATCCATTAAAGATCATAAAATATTCCCAAAATTTAAATGAAATAGATCCAAATCCAATGCATTCTTCATCTGAGCTGAAAACTTTATTATTTGGATATATCGAGATCGATGCTTAATCTTCTCTTTATCTTAGTTTCAGGATTAATTTAATCTTAATTTGAAAGAAAAATAGCGGATTTGAGGAAATTAAAAGTGACCACATTGGATATTCATATAATTAAGCGATGGATTAAAGCTATGGGTATCCAATTTAAAGTTTTCAGCTCAGAGCTGAAAACTTTAGAATTGTGGATATTGAGATTAATGCTTGATCCTCTATTTTTCTTACAATCGAGACTAACTTAATTACGTGTATCCTGAAAAGTGTAAAAAATTCAACCAATCAGAGTCGCATATATGAAGTCGATAAATTTTGCGCGCCATTTAAGATTATATACAGAAATGGGAGGGACTCTCTAAATTAAAAAAACGCTTTTTAATTTTTCTCTACTATATCCTAGAAAAAACGGCTTAAGAAGAAAATCAATAGTGTATCCATGTGGATACTCAGAATAAGTAATTGGGATTAATGGATATCTCATTCTAAAGTTTTCAGCTCAGATCATATAATTATTGAAAAACACAGCTAACAGTTAAACGTTACTTAAATGTACTCCATTCTTTAATGGATCTTTTTTATTCATGTATATATAATAATTATATATATTATAAGCATAAATTTAAAAATGCAACAAAACTTTCCTCGCTTCTCACTCTTTTATTCAAAGATAAATATGTATTTCACAATCATGTCTACATTTTTTACTTAGAATTTTGAACTTAAAGCATACAAATATTTTTTCTAAATATATATATTTGTTAAAAACTCAATTTGCNTGTTGTACACTAGGTAGTCTCATAAACATTGTCTATTAAAATCTTATGTTTATTGGGTCTCCCTGTACTTAATCTTGAATCTTAAAGGTTAGAAATGTTGGTTGTAAATTTTTTTTCTTTTTTGTTTTCACAGATATTATGACTAGAAGATACAAAAGGAACATTTTCTGTACGCCATGTACAAAAATATTACAAAATCTTATTATGCCGATTACATATGGATTCACACATTTTTAATCATCAATAGAAAAAATCATTATCAACTTGGCAAACATATTTATTTTGCATTTTTGTAGTGTTATTAGAGAAGAATTTTATGGAAGATAAAATATATCTGATTTGGATAAAAAAGAAGGCACTCCAAGTTTAGATTATAAATAATCTAGCAAAGTTTGAACTTTGCTTTATGCAACACATCAAGCCGCACAATTTATTTAAAATGTGATGATTGTTTTTTCCTTGTTTAATTCTTAAGATGTTGTCAACTGTTTTAGTCGTCTCATCTTTTCATTATCATTTCTCCATTATCCGTCCTATACTTTATCCATCCTTACTCCATCATCCATCTATCTATCCATTATTCATTATCCTTCTTTTTAACCACTATCCGTCCTCTTCATTATCCATCTACACTCTATTATCCATCTACACTCTATTATCCATCTATCTATTTAGTTTCTATCTATCTATCCATTATCAGAGCCCGTCGTTTACGTCTCTCCAGATCTTCAGCTGTCATCAACTGAGGGGATGTTGTTGTTGTTGTAAGTTTATCAGGAGGTGACAGCTGTGGTTCACTTGCTGTAACCGCCGCTTTATCAGAAACGGCGGATACCAGCTGAGGTTGACCCGCCGTTCGTTTTTCCAAAGCGGTAATTTGAGGCTGAGATTTGACCGCGAAAACACTGCTTGCGGACTTTTGTAGAACTGTTTTCTTCACGACAATTGGAGGTGGTTGTTTTAGTGTGTATGTTAGCTGTTGCTTGCTGTCTTTGGATTGGTCTGGAGAAGGTGCAATATATCTGAGTTGGTCTGGAGAGGGTGACGTGTATCTGAGTTGCTCAGATCTGTCTGGAAACTAAAAATATATAAATAAAAATGCAACATGGTGCAATATGAAGCGTTTTATTTTTTTTGTTAATTTATGAATAAAAATCTTACTTGAAAAATATCTCCATTGCTCTCTACATTTTCACTTTTTATCTGGGTAACTCTTGCCATTTTGTTTTCAACCTCAGTTCCACGTGTTTCCGGTTTAGTTTCCTTTTCCGGGATATCAGAGTTTTTCCGTTTCCGTCCACTCCCGGTGCAGTTTGGCTCCACGAGGGGTTCTTCTTTCACCCTTGTCTCCGTGTTAAAGAAGAAGCTCATTGGTACAGGGATAGGGATAGGAATAGGAATAGGGATAGGAAGCAGTAATGGATAGGGAAGGTTAAAACTGAAAGGAAAAGGATTGATCTGTTCTGGAGATCTCCTAATAGGTGGTGGTGGTGGTGGTGGGGGCCCCATGGTAGTAGAAGAGGGACGAGTGGAAGGAAGGGAGGGTTTAGGTAACAGAATAATAATAATAATGATAAAAATAATAATAAGTTTATTTTTTTGGCATACATAATTAACAATATTTTATAAAATTTAAGTAGATACACAATACACACTTAAAAATATAACTCATGAATATTATTTATAAAATTTTAAAATGTAAAATAAAAAAGTCAGAGCTGGAAACTTTTGAATGGTGGATATCGAGATGAACGCTTGATCTCCTCTTTTTTAAATATCCAGATTAAATATTGCTTGTTTTCCTCTTGATATTAATCTCCAGATTAATTAACCGATCGGGATCAAGGATATCCCATTCTAAAGTTTTCAGCTCAGGTTCCTTTAAACTTGCTTTTTATGCTGAAATATTGTTATCACACAAATTATAGGAAATTATTGAAAAATGCGGAACAGAAAATTGAAAATACAGAAAATTGAAAATACAGAAAAGTAAACAAATACAATGAGGGGCGTATGCAAGCGTTGGAAGCTATAAGGGCTAAGCCACCCCAATAATGAAAATAAAAAAACTGAATGAAAAATTAAAAAATGCAAAATTGATTATAAAATTAATTATTGAAGAATACCTGAGGCCTATTTGATCCTGCCAATTGAATGTGAGGAACTACACCAAGTCTTTGATCGGCGGGTACCCGTCGCTGTTGTCTGTCTCTTACCGCTGTTTTCCTGATTCCGTTTACGTTACCGCCGATGCATTTATATCTTCTATTTTCTATTTCTCTGTTCTAAAATAAAGTTTAAGTTGAAACAATTATTAATGCACATTAGTTATACTGTTTTTTGATTTAATGCTTTCAAAAACATTTATCTTTTGTTAAGAAGCCTCTACCTTTAGCTCTGGCTTTTTCAATATATGATCTGGCTTTACCTAAACAATTTTAAATTAGGTTTTAACATTCAACAATTTTATAAAAATGCATTCATGTTATATAATAATATTAAAATATCGAAATAGTTATTTCTTAGAATTTCAACCGGCGTTGGCTCAAAGAAACTACGTTTTAGCCACAAATTCTGATTTTCAAATGGCTATATCTTTGCAAACTGAAGGTGTTAACCTTTGATATTTCAAACTATTATTATTTGAACAAAAATAATTCATAGTTTGAAATATCTATGGTCTCTGACTTTGAATTTCAAAGATATAGGGCTTAGAAAATCAGAGTTTGTGACAAAAACTCAATTCCTTTATCAAGCTCTGTGAGTCTATGTAAAAAATTCTCCCGACGATGAGTTTACTCTGGATTGAAATTTTTAAATAAAAAGTGTTGTAAAATTAGAAACAAATGTTTAATGCCCCCCCCCCCCGGACCTTTCCATGATTTGAAAACTTAAAGACATCACTTAAATCCTTTTCGAAATTTCTAACCTTAACTGTAGGCCGTTCTGTTGCTCTTTCCAGATTCTCAGAACTAATAATAATAATGAAAGAATGATAATAATAATAATAATAATAATAATAATAATAATAATGATAACAATATTAATATTAATAATAATAATAATAATAAAAACAAGGAATACCTGGATGAAATACCTTCTCTGTACAAATTTAAACAAGTTGTACTGCAAAAATACATTTTTCTAAATAGAAAATTAGAATTTTAAAATAGCTTTTTGAAATTATAATTAGTGATGTTTAAATCTTTGAATCTTTTTAGCACAAAAGATATACTTGTCAATATGCTTGAGGGTCTGTTTAACAGGGGCATACTAAGAAGGGGAGGTGACTGCAAACTATAGAAAAGGAAAGAAATGATGATGACGACACTAATGATACGACCCTGTGACCTCTAGCATTGATCTTGCGCACAATAAAATTTGATAAGATATATTTTATTATTTTGTTCCTGTACCTTGTATTATCTTGAACAACTAGGGTATCCTGGCGAACTTGTTTACAATTATCACAGACATTTCCAGCTCCTGCTCGCCCCACCTTAAACACTGCTCTCCTGAACAGGAAGAGAGGGTAGTTAGAACAGCAATCAGGGGTTTAAAAAGGAAAATGTGTGAAATTTTTCAAGAAAACTCGCTGAGAGGGTCATTACATTACCTTAATTGTCCCATGAGACGTAAAGTAACTTTACGTCTCTCTGTATGTTAAAGCAACAACAAGTTAGATTTTTTACGTAATTTCAAGTACCCCCCCTACCCTATCGGGCATGACTTGTACCTTCACGTGGACAATGCCTTTATGACGTTACTGAGGGGAGGAAGGCCAGCCACAACAATTTCTCGTCCGAGCCACATTATTCTCATTTTCTCGTCCGAGCCACCTCAAAATCCTCGTCCTTCGCTTATTATGTGCTTTTAAGTTTCTAATTCTTGAAGATAAAGCTATCTTTTAAAAATCAGGCCACGCTAGGGCATAAAATATGGATAGACTAAAGTATTGCAATGATTATATCACGTTGAAATCTTTAAAGCCATGAGAATGATGTCAAACTGAAAACTTAAATCTCTTCTGCCTCCGTAATAAGCTAACCTGCAAGATACAAAATGAATAGAAAAATATTTGGCATACCTCTCCCTATAATTTCCCCCATGGAACCGCCCGGAAAAATTCTGCAGTTTTCGCTATAATTAACAAAAAAGATCAAAGTTCTGTAAACTTGGAATTATTTGCGTCATTCTACTCCTAGATTATCTGAAAATGCGCGTAAAAACGATGAATATTTTTCCCGACCATTGCACTCAAAAATTTAAATTCTATTGAAAGTATTTTTCGATTTACAAAAATTTAATATTTTGTTCATGTTCTAACGTGACCCAATTCTAAAAAGATTGTTTTATCTTGGAGAATTTAACACTTTAAAAAGATAATATTCGAAGGACGAGGATTTCGAGGTGGCTCGGACGAGAAAATGAGGAGAATGTGACTCGGACTAGAAATTGTTGTGGCTGGCCTTCCTCCCCTCGTTACTAGTTACCTATAATGTGAGAAACATGATTCTGAGCAGAATAGTTTTAACTCTTCTCCATCTGATACTGGTAAAGAGAACTGGGGGGTGGAGACACGGAAACACCAATCACAGGCTCCTTCACAGAATAAAATATCAAAATATTATAAAACTGTGTATCCAGCTTTGCCTGGAATTTAATTTGTCCTACTCAACTTAAGATTAAATCAAACCAAGCTATTACTGAGTTCCCCATGCCAAAAGAATTGAGTCTTTGCCACATTCTCAAATTTTCTAATCCCTATATCTTTGCAACCTGATGTAATCTTTTGATATCTCAAACTAAGATTATTTGATCCAACAAAATTCATAGTTTGAAATATCTAAGGTCTTCGACATTGGGTTGCAATGATATTTGGATTAGAAAATGAGAGTTTGTTGCAAAGAATCAATTCCTTTGAGGCATATTAGTCAAGGGGTTCCAGAGTTCTGATCGGATATACACACAGACAAACAGAGATTGTTAATTTATATTTAGAGATAATCAGCTTTTCTTCATTAAGAGGAAAATTTGGGGATTTTTTTTTTATTTATTACAAACAAAGAAGCGCGAAATAGTTAGTAAAAGATAGATATATAGTTGAATAGTTAGTTTAAAGGTAGATATATAGTTGAATAGTTTGTTTAAAGATAGATAGATAGTTGAATAGTTAGTTTAAAGGTAGATATATAGTTGAATAGTTTGTTTAAAGATAGATAGTTGAATAGTTAGTTTAAAGATAGATAGATAGTTGAATAGTTAGTTTAAAGGTTCTGGTGTTATATTACTGGACACAAACAGAGCCAAGTTTCATGTTACAAAATTCCCCGCACACACAAACACACACAACACTTACAAACACACACCAACACTGACAAACACTCAAACACAAGCATATTCAAACAAACATTTATAATTATCTGGTAATACAGTGTAAGTATCTGTTTCCTTTTCATTAAACTTTAATCTTTCTAACTAGGCTTTTAGGCGCTTCGCGCCCATCTTCTATTTCAACTTTTAATTGTGGCTCTATCTGTTCGTGGATTTACTAATATTTTTTCGCCAATTTTTAAAATTTTTAAATCAAAAACTTTTGGACACACTTTTTTGTAATTTTAAGCATCCATAAACCTTTCCTGGGTTCACACAAAATTTGGGCCCGATCGGTAAAACAGTTTTGACGTTTACTGGATACAAAAAGAAAAACTGACAGACAAGCAAAGTATATATTTATAAATTATCTTTACATTTTTTTATCTAATTAACTACATTTAAATCTGTCTGTGTTTTTTTACTTTCTGCCTTTCTATCCACCTATCCATCCTTATATCCAATTGATTTGTCTACTTTTTGTTTGTTTGTTTATTTATCTAATGTTTCTTTGTAGGTCTGTAAAATAATAAAACGCCTTTTTGCATGAAAAATCCAAAACATATTCCAATACACTGTAAACCAACCAGGAGGATAAGGTCAAATTCAGTTGACATTACTGTCACAGCTTTGTGACTCCGTTGCTCCTCTAGTTCTGATTTTACTCGCAAGTGTAGGAAAAGCAAATATATTTGGTTACATATTAGAAATTTGTTTTTCTCAATAGCTTTTCAATAAGAGGAGTTATGATAAAAACATATAAGTTAACAATCTTACTTGCTTAATACTTTAGTTTGCATTGACGCGAATATTAAATGTACAGTGTACAGTTACACGCAATTACTACAAGTATACAAGGAAACCAATAGACTTGTACAATTACATGCAATTACTACAACAATACAAGGAAACAATAGACTTGTACAGTTACACGCAAATACTACATGTGTACAAGGAAACAATAGACTTGTACAGTTACACGCAATTACTACAAGTATACAAGGAAACAATAGACTTGTACAATTACATGCAATTACTGCAAGTATACAAGAAAACAATAGACTTGTATACAGGTACACGCAATTACTACAAGTATAGAAGGAAACCAATAGACTTGTACAGTTACACGCAATTACTACAAGTATACAAGGAAACAATAGACTTGTACAATTACATGCAATTACTGCAAGTATACAATGAATGCGCTGCATGCTACACTATGCAGTATGCAAGTATGCAATGAATGCTTGCATGCTACACTATGTAGTTTGCAAGTATACAATGAATGCTTGAATACGGCTTATTTTGCTGTTTCAAGCTCTAAGGAAGTGGGGACAGAGGTATTGAATGTCACCCACAAACTTTCAAATGTTGAAATTTGAATCTTTCCCCTCATTTATCTTTACTTTCACTCAGCATATACCATACAGTGTGTCCTATCAAAAATAATAATTTCTTGATATGTAGAAAGTGACATCTTCTTATATTTATAACGGCTGAATCTTTCAACAGAAAAATCCTAGAAAATTTGTATTTATCGGAAAAATGGCGTCTTGCTAAGTAAGAGTTAAAATCTAAAATTGTTACTAGAAAAGTGGGAGCGAAGCGCTCTAAAAGCCTGGTAAAATATGTTAAGGCATTTATTCTTAACCCTTATTTACGGACAAATATTGGACAAATTCTTTAAGATTCATTTGAGACAAATGTAAATCATGAGTTTGAGCACAAAATCGTACTTTTGGGTGGATACGTTTTCAAAATTGTTTTTTTAAATTATTAAATAACTACGATATACAATGTAAACAAAATTCCACAGTAAACTAATTAGTTGTTTAGGAACAGGTCGAGAAAATAATAATTAATCTTATCATCAAAAATAAGTAATCTTTCGGAAAACGTACCCACCCAAATTCATGATTTTGAACGTCGACTAAGCAATCAAACTCAGTAATTATACATCGTGGAAACGTTTTATATGTCTCAAAAGAATTTGTCCACAACACTGCATACTCAGCTTAACTACCTTACATAGCCGGTCTGTCCGTTTAATAAAAATCTTTTTTATCATAAAACAACATGTCATCATGTCATCAATTGAACCATATAAAGTTTTACAAAGGAATTGAATCTTTCTAAACCCTATATGTTTAAAACCTTATGGTGGAAACCTGTGAAATTATATTATTTGATCTAACAAAATTTAGAGTTTGAAATATCTAATTAAGGTTATGACATTGGGTTGCAAAGATGAAGAGATACGAAAATCATATTTACCTTGCATATCATGACTCCGTCCTCGTAATCTGCCGAGGATATGGATCAAATTCTCCTCCCGTCCTCTCTCCTCATCATCCCGTCCTCTCTCATCCTCCTCCTGGCCTCGATCCTCCTCATCCTGCCCCCCGTCCTCGTCCATCTCCTCCTCCTCCTCCTTCTCTCCCTGGTTCCTGAACCTCATGTACCTCTCACCCTCACGCATAGACCTCCTCACCTCTGGGGGTGACCTCCTGTCCTCTTTCAGTGACCTGGCTCGGTCTCTAAGTGACCTGCCCCGGTCTCTGAGTGACCTGCTACTGAGGTCCTCAGGTTGAGGTTGAACAGTCCGCCCTCGATTTCTTTTCATATCAGGTGTCAGAGACCTTCATTTTACAATTTCATTTTCATTATTATTATTATTATCATTATTATTATTATTATTATTATTATTATTATTATTATTATTATTATTATTATTATTATTATTATTCTTATTATTATTATTATTATTATTATTATTATTATTATTATTATTATTATTATTATTATTATTATTATTATTATTATTATTATTATTATTATTATTATTATTATTATTATTATTATTATTATTATTATTATTATTATTATTATTATTATTATTATTATTATTATTATTATTATTATTATTATTATTATTATTATTATTATTATTATTATTATTATTATTATTATTATTATTATTATTATTATTATTATTATTATTATTATTATTATTATTATTATTATTATTATTATTATTATTATTATTATTATTATTATTATTATTATTATTATTATTATTATTATTATTATTATTATTATTATNGGGGGGGTGCTGGGAAAGTAGCCTAGCAATGCATGATAGAGAAGCACTGTAATATGATCACTCTGATCAAGTTCGTTATACAGTCAGATAGTGGGATATATAAATAGAGATAGATAGATGGATAATGCAGCAATTAAAATTTGAAGACTGTCCTATTAAACACAACAAACAAAAACAGGTTTATACTATAAATAAAATAGAAAAACAAGTTTACACGTAGATCTTTACGGAATTTGTAGAAGATTTTCAGACACTAGATATCTTGCTAATTACTAGACACATAGATAGATTACTAGACAAATAGATAGATTACTAGTCACGAAGATATATTACTAGACACGTAGGTAAACTACTAGACAGGTAGATAGATAACTAGTCACAAAGAAATATTACTAGACACTTAGGTAAATTACTAGACAGGTAGATAGATAACTAGACACGTCGACAGATTAATAGACACGTAGACTAGGAGACAGGAAACCAGCAGATAACTAGAAGCGTAAAAAAGTAGACAAGGATGAAAAAACCTGTAGAAAACAAGATATGGAGACAAGTAAACCAGGATACAGTAGACCAAGTAGTTAAATAGACGAGTAGAAAAGTAGACCAGGAGAGGTAAACTAGTAGATAACTCGACAACCAGACAAATTAACTATAAGACTGGAAACCAATAGATAAATATTTAGAAAAGTAGACAAGGTGACAGGAAACCAGTAGATAACTTAAGACTTCGAGAAAATAAACCAGTAGACAACTGTACACTCGGAGACAGTAAACCAGTAGATAACTGTAGACTACGAGAAAGCAAACCAGTAGATAACTGTAGACTAGAAGACATTAAACCAGTAGATAACTGTAGACTAGGAGACAGTAAACTAGTAGATAACTGTAGAATAGGAGACAGTAAACCAGTAGATAACTGTAGACTAGGAGACAGTAAACCAGTAGATAACTGTAGACTAGGAGACAGTAAACCAGTAGATAACTGTAGACTAAGAGACAGTAAACCAGTAGATAAGTAGAAGATCAGAATTTGACAGGGACAAAAGACAATAAGATTTTATATAATTAGATTTTATCTTCATTACCTTATTTTTCAGCATCCTGCAGATCAATTTAGCTGATCAGTATGCCATTATTTTCTTGCTGAAAAAAAGCATTTCACAATTTTTTATCTAAAATATCGATTCATTTTGAAGCATTACTTGTTTAAACAAAAAGATAATTTATATCTTTAAATGCTATGATATTTTAAATGAAAAAAAACGTAATCTAACCCCTGAAAGGTTCCCCTTATGTCGTGAATCTATGGTATCCAGTATCCAGTATCTAACTGCCATATGTGGGTTTCATAGAAACTTTTCAGTTTTCACACCGAAGAGCGTATAGAATGTGAGATTGAGAATAGGTTCAGATTAAGGTATTATATTACTCTTTAACGAATTTGTCCCCTGCTTTGATTGCACTGCATTGATCTATCTATCTTTATTCATCAAACTCTAAATTCTCACGGATATCCCGAGATCTAACAGTTCCCGTGTAATTCCAGATATCTCTCATCAGACCCATTTTTGGCCATTTATGTCCATTTATGACCATTTTTGACCATGTATGACCATTTATCCCCATTTACGCATACATTTTTGAATGTGTCCTCCATCACGTTTTGCTTTAAAGCTTCACAATACGCTGATAAAACATTTTGAAATGCAAGTATCGGTTGATGGATGAATTGCAATAAAAATTTGATTTTAGAAATTATTTTCGAATTATGACGCTTAATTGCATAAACGTAAAGCATGTAAGGCATGATTGCGGAAATATGAAGAACTAGCTTGGGAACCCAGCCTTGCACTAACTTTTCGCCATAAAAGTCGACCCACTCAACTCAAAACCAAACTAAGAACATTCTTGTGGTTCTCCCGAGTTCCACAATCAAAATTAAAAGCAAATCGGTCCAGGGGTTCCTGAGTTATGATCGCACAAACAAACAAACAAGCACCACAACAGAGATTACAGCTTTATATAGATAATTGCGGGGAGAAAATATGATGCATAGTTGCGGAAATGTAAAGAATACTTGCGGAAATGTAAAGCATGGTTGCGGAAATGTAAGGAATACTTGCGGAAATGTAAAGCATGGTTGGAGAAATCTAAACCATGGTTGGGGAAATGTAAAGCATGGTTGGGGAAATGTAAAGCATAGTTGCGGAAATGTAAGGAATACTTGCGAAAATGTAAAGCACGGTTGGGGAAATCTAAAGCATAGTTGGGAAATGTAAAGCATGGTTGGGGAAATGTAAAGCATGGTTGGGGAAATGTAAAGCATGATTGCGGAAATGTAAAGCATGGTTGCGGAAAAGTAAAACATGGTTGCGGAAATGTAAAGAATGGTTGCGGAAATGTAAAGCTTGGTTGCGGAAATGTAAAGCATGATTGCGGGAATGTAAAGCATGGTTGCGGAAATGTAAAGCATGGCTGAGGAAATGTAAAGCATGGTTGCGGAAAGGTAAAGCATGGTTGCGGAAACGTAAAGCATGGTTGCGGAAAAGTAAAGCATGGTTGCGAAAATGTAAAGAATGGTTGCGGAAATGTAAAGAATGGTTGCGGAAATGTAAAGCATGGTTGCGGAAACGTAAAGCATGGTTGCGGAAACGTAAAGCATGGTTGCGGAAATGTAAAGCATAGTTGCGGAAACGTAAAGCATGGTTGCGGAAACGTAAAGCATGGTTGGGGTATTCTAAAGTATTATTTCAATAATAGTAAGACATATTGTGGAATGTATAGATTCTAGAAATTGTTAATCTTGTCTTGAATAAGTACAGGAATGGATGGCCTGGTTCATTTTAGTTTCATCACTATTCACTATTTGTAACATCAGATTAAGATTAAAATCCCGGAAAATAACCTTTACGTACCTTTCCCTTTCTATGAGACAGGATACCCCCCCCCCCCCCCCCCCCATATTCGGTCTCGTTAGGGAAAGGGTAGGGATCATTTTTCAACACAGCTCATTGGAGCATAAAAATTTCATTCCAAAATTTATCTGGTTGTCTTATGATAGTGTCCAAAATTCCTTTGAAATAACATTTTTTTTGCTTCTCGCCTAGAAATGCAAGTGCTCGAGTTTAAAATGTAAAGTTCTTCACAAATTAACTGTACTTCAGATATAATAGATGTACTGCACTTAAATAGTACACAGTACACTGTACAGTGTACAACGGAAACAAGTATAGACTGCAGACGTTTGCGGTAACTAAACTGAATGCATAACTATGTTCAGTACATACAATATACAGATTACAGACATTGTTTAGTGTACTGCAGAAACAAAAGTTGATGTACACTATACTGGTGTTAAACTGCGACTAGAGTATTCTAGTGTGTGTACCCTGGACCCCCCTAGCTCTCTGCTCCCCTCGGCTCCATGTTTGAAACCTAACACTTGGTATCGTATATCTTTACAAAGTTCAGGGCGAACCAAACCATAGCAGGGGGAGAATATACCCGTCCTTCAGGGAGAATACAGTTAAAAGATGACAACACTAAAACTTGAAAACTTTTATAAAATAAATCAAAGGAAAACATTAAAGAGAAATAGTTTTTTGTTGGATAAAAATTAGATCGTAGAAGAAGGAGGGAGAAAGTGTGAGAAAGCGTTTTAAAGTTTGTATTATTTAATATAAGAAAATGCAGAAAGAAAATTTTGCCAATCTGAGAAGGCTAGTTTTGCAGGGTAGAAAATTTAGAAGATAGAACAATTAGAGTGTTTTATAAAAGAAGATATTTGTAGGTTTGATGAGTATGAGGTTAGAATATTGTAGAGAGAGTTTTGTAGGCTTGAGCAAACTAGAAGATTGTCGGGAGAGTTTTATAGGTTTGAGTTAACTGGAAGATTGTAGAGAGAGTTTTGTTGGTATGAGTTAACCAGAATATTGCAAAGAGATTTTTGTAGGTTGCGTTAACTAGAAGATTTCAGAGAGAGTTTTATAGGTTTGAGCAAACTAGAAGAGTTAAAAGAGAGTTTTGCAGGATTGAGCAAACTAGAATATTGCAGAGAGAGTTTTATAGGTTTGAGCAAACCAGAAGATTACAGAGAGAGTTTTGTAGGTTTGAGTAAACTAGAAGATTTCAGAGAGAGTTTTGTAGGTTTGAGCAAACTAGAAGATTTCAGAGAGAGTTTTATAAGTTTAAGCAAACTAACAGATTGCATTGAGAGTTTTATAGGTTTGAGCAAACTCGAAGGTTTTGGTAAACTAGAAGATTGCAGAGATTTTATTGGTTTGAGCTAACTAGTAGAATGCAGAGAGAGTTTTATAGATTTGAGCAAACTAGAAGATTGCAGCGAGAGTTTTGTGAGTTTGATTTAACTAAAAGATTGCAGAGAGAATTTTGTAGGATTGAGCGAACTAGAAGATTTCAGAGAGAGTTTCTTAGGTTTGAGAAAACTAGAAGATTTCAATGAGAGTTTTATAGGTTTAAGCAAACTCGAAGATTTCAGAGAGAGTTTTGTAGGTTTGAGCAAACTAGAA